CGATTTTTGGAAATGTATAGCCTAAGGGTAGTGAGGAAACTGGGGTGAAATTTTGTACAAAAAAAAATGTTAGTTCTAGGAGTATGAAATTTTGTACAGAGTTTCCTTAAGTGACGAAAGTGAGTACCCAGAAGCTAATTTTGACATTCATCCCCTAGAAATAAGGGATGAAAATTTGTACTAAAGTTTTTTACAATCGGTTTTAGAAGTATGAAATTCTGCACAGACGTTCCTTATGTAACGTAATTTAGCACTAAGTAGCACTTTTGGAAATTCGCCCTCTAAGGGTGTGAAATGAGGGGTGAACGTTCTGAAACAATTCTGTTGAAGGATAAGGGGTAAAACTAGGGGTGAAAATTTTGTATAATTTTTATGTAAAAATCCGTTCTAGGACTAGAGTATGAAATTCTGTTCAGAGGTCCCTTAAATGATGAAAGTGAGTACCTAGAAGCGAATTTTAGGCATGCATCCCTAAAAAATAAAGGGATGAAAATTTGTACAAAAAATTTGTTAAAATCGGTTTTAGAAGTATGAATTTTGCAGACGTTCCTTATGTAACGTAATTTAGCACTAAGTAGCACTTCTTGGAAATTCGCCCTTTAAGGGTGTGAAATGAGGGGTGAACGTTCTGAAACAATTCTGTTGAAGGATAAGGGGGTAAAACTAGGGGTGAAAATTTGTATAATTTTTTATGTAAAATCCGTTCTAGGACTAGGAGTATGAAATTCTGTTCAGAGGTCCCTTAAATGATGAAAGTGAGTACCTAGAAGCGAATTTTAGGCATGCATCCCCTAAAAAATAAAGGATGCAAATTTGTACAAAAATTTGTTAAAATCGGTTTTAGAAGTATGAATTTTGCAGACGTTCCTTATGTAACGTAATTTAGCACTAAGAAGCAATTTTTGGAAATTCGCCCTCTAAGGGTGTGAAATGAGGGCTGAACGTTCTGAAACATTTCTGTTGAAGGAATATAAAAATTTGCACAGAGGTTCCTTATGTAGCGTAATTGAATAATTAGAGTGATTTTTGGAATTCATTCCTTAAGGGGGTAAAACTAGGGGTGAAAATTTGTATAATTTTTTATGTAAAAAATCCGTTCTAGGACTAGGAGTATGAAATTCTGTTCAGAGGTCCCTTAAATGATGAAAGTGAGTACCTAGAAGCGAATTTTAGGCATGCATCCCCTAAAAATAAGGGATGAAAATTTGTACAAAAATTTGTTAAAATCGGTTTTTAGAAGTATGAATTTTGCAGACGTTCCTTATGTAACGTAATTTAGCACTAAGAAGCAATTTTGGAAATTCGCCCTCTAAGGGTGTGAAATGAGGGTGAACGTTCTGAAACAATTCTGTTGAAGGAATATGAAAATTTTGCACAGAGGTTCCTTATGTAGCGTAATTGAATAATTAGAGTGATTTTTGGAATTCGTTCCTTAAGGGGTAAAACTAGGGGTGAAAATTTGTATAATTTTTAATGTAAAATCCGTTCTAGGACTAGGAGTATGAAATTCTGTTCAGAGGTCCCTTAAATGATGAAAGTGAGTACCTAGAAGCGAATTTTTAGGCATGCATCCCCTAAAAATAAAGGGATGAAAATTTGTACAAAAAATTTGTTAAAATCGGTTTTTAGAAGTATGAATTTTGCAGACGTTCCTTATGTAACGTAATTTAGCACTAAAAAGCAATTTTTGAAATTCGCCCTCTAAGGGTGTGAAATGAGGGGTGAACGTTCTGAAACAATTCTGTTGAAGGAATATGAAAATTTGCACAGAAGGTTCCTTATGTAGCGTAATTGAATAATTAGAGTGATTTTTTGGAATTCATTCCTTAAGGGGGGTAAAACTAGAGGTGAAAATTTGTATAATTTTTATGTAAAATCCGTTCTAGGACTAGGAGTATGAAATTCTGTTCAGAGGTCCCTTAAATGATGAAAGTGAGTACCTAGAAGCGAATTTTAGGCATGCATCCCCCTTAAAAATAAGGGATGAAAATTTGTACAAAAAATTTGTTAAAATCGGTTTTAGAAGTATGAATTTTGCAGACGTTCCTTATGTAACGTAATTTAGCACTAAAAGCAATTTTTGAAATTCGCCCTCTAAGGGTGTGAAATGAGGGTGAACGTTCTGAAACAATTCTGTTGAAGGAATATGAAAAATTTGCACAGAGGTTCCTTATGTAGCGTAATTGAATAATTAGAGTGATTTTTGGAATTCATTCCTTAAGGGGGTAAAACTAGGGGTGAAAATTTGTATAATTTTTATGTAAAATCCGTTCTAGGACTAGGAGTATGAAATTCTGTTCAGAGGTCCCTTAAATGATGAAAGTGAGTATCTAGAAGCGAATTTTAGGCATGCATCCCCTAAAAAATAAGGGATGAAAATTTGTACAAAAATTTGTTAAAATCGGTTTTAGAAGTATGAATTTTGCAGGCGTTCCTTATGTAACGTAATTTAGCACTAAGAAGCAATTTTTGGAAATTTGCCCTCTAAGGGTGTGAAATGAGGGGTTGAACGTTCTGGAACAATAAATTCTGTTCAAGGAATATGAGAACTTGCACAGAGGTATATTATGTAGCGTAATTGAATAATTAGAGCGATTTTTGGAATTCATTCCTTAAGGGGATAAAACTAAGGGTAAAAATTTGTATAATTTTTATGTAAAATCCGTTCTAGGACTAGGAGTATGCAATTTTGTACAGAGGTCCCATAAGTGATGAAAGTGAGTACCCAGAAGAAAATTTTGGACATGCACCCCCTAAAAAATAAGCACTCCCTATAAAACAATTAAAATAAAAAAATTTGTCTAAAAAATAAAAAAAAAGTTGGGGTGGACCACTCTTATCACATAGGGGTATAAAAAATAGATAACCTGGGAATAGGTTGTGACCAAACCAAACCAAACCAGACCTACTGAATATACATAAATTTTTTTTATCAAAATCGCTCTAGCCGTTTCGGGGATGGTAACAAAAAATTTAAAAAAACAACCCCTATTCAAAAATAGGTAGAACGGTGAAAATTTTGGGTTCTTTGTATTTTTTAATGCAAAATAAAAAAATAAAAAAATATGTTTTTTCAAAATATAAAAAAAATGGGAATGGGCTACCTTATCACTTAAGGGTATAAAAATAGATAACAACGTATTCTCAGACCTACTGAATATACATATAAAATTTTATCAAAATCGGTTAAGCTGTTTCGGAGATAGTAACAAAAAACTTAAAAAAAACAACCCCTATTAAAAAATAGGGGATGATGGTAGAACGGTGAAAATTTAGGGTTGTTTGTATTTCTTAATGCCAAATAAAGAAATAAAAACATTTTTTTCTTTTCAAAAACTAAAAAATGAGGGTGGGCTACCCTCTCGGCTACCATTATCAGTTAAGGCTATAAAATAGATAACAACCTATTCTTAGACGTACTGAATATACATATAAAATTTTATCAAAATCGGTCAAAACCGTTTCGGAGATGGTAACAAAAAAACTTAAAAAACAACCCCTATTAAAAAATAGGGGATGATGGTAGAACAGTGAAAATTTAGGGTTGTATGTATTTTTAATGCCAAATAAAAAAAAAATTAAAAATATTTTTTAAAATAAAAAATGGGGTGGGCTACCCTTATCACTTAAGGGTATAAAAATAGATAACAACGTATTCTCAGACCTACTGAATATACATAGAAAATTTCATCAAAATCGATGAAGCCGTTTCGGAGATGGTAACAAAAAATTAAAAAAAAACATTTTTTAATAGGGGATAATGGTAGAACGGTGAAAATTTAGGGTTGTTTGTATTTTTTAATGCCAAATAAAAAAAATTAAAATATTTTTTTTTCAAAAAATAAAAAAAAATGGGGGTGGGCTACCCTTATCACTTAAGGGTATAAAAAATTTATAACAACCTATTTTCAGACCTACTCAATATACATATAAAATTTCATCAAAATCGGCTAAGCCGTTTCGGAGATGGCAACAAAAAAAAATAAAAAACAACCCCTATTAAAAATAAGGGATGATAGCAGAACGTTTAGTCAGAAATTTAGGGTTGTTTGTATTTCTTAATGCCAAATAAAAAAATAAAAACATTTTTTATTTGTCTTATCTCTCTTGTCAAAGTCAGAATCTTCAAAATTTTTAAAATCTTCGAAAATTTGAACCTCCCGCATTGAAAAAATACCAAAAAATGTTTAAAGCGTCCATTTTCATAGTAATTATTGCTATCTTGTAAGATTATTTTAAATTTAAATGAATAAAACCCCTGATAATTGTAAAAAAATGGCATTAAAAAAACTTAAGGTGTGTGAACTATAAACTGCATAAACCATCGTGGCATAATGTCGGTTTCCAATATTCCATAGGTACCGTATGATCGAAAAAAAAACGGCGTCCAGTTGGCTTGGAAATGACGATCATTGACATTTCCCATATAATTTTACATATAAAATGACAGCGATCTTCATTTCATAGCCATCGCTGACGCCGTTTTTATTTGATCATACGGTATTTTATACATGTCCTTATATAAAATAAAGTTACTCATTTGCAACACCCTGTGTTTTATTTGTAAAATTAAAAGAAAATAATAATAAATTTGAATAAATAATATATTTGGCGACATGATTCAGGAATAGTTCTAAAGTTTTGTGTCGCGACCGTTGCAAGAATAGCGCCAAATAGTATTTAAATTGTCCTTATGGCCACTTTCCAATCTAAACTTGTTTCATTTATCTATGATATACATTATAAGGTACAATTACTAGATATTTTCGCAATCTATCCAGCTATATTGTATCCTCTTAGTAAAAATTAATATTCTTGCTTTATCTACAACGAAGTTACAGAGTGGTCACAAGTGCCGCTACTACCTTCGAGAAAAGGATGGTACGGCCGCGGCTGTATATCGACTTGGCGGGAGTACTGCCGTGCCCCCAGATTAACTAATTATAAGGCTTGTATTTTTTAGCTAATCATATTAATTTTTGATTTGGTATTATTTATAGTGCTGCTTTTGTAACTACTTCGTCAGCTGAATCTTCTCAATCCAATCAAACCGGGCTTCCCTGTCCCACTATAATAACTTCAAGTGTTACACCTCCAGCAACCTCACCAACAGTGCCAACTACAACTGCAACCACTCCTACACACCCAATGTTAGCTACTCGTAGAGATTCTACTACTCAATGTGGTAGATTAGGAAGAAGGGATTCCAGGTAATGCAACCTACAAAATGTTCTGTTAAAATTTACATAGCAAAATTAAAGACTATGTACTTCACCACTACCTCAAAATACCACTGAGTACGCGTTTCACTAAAAAATTAAATAGGGAAAATTACCTTATCTTTTAACATTAAAAATTAGATCCTAAAAATATTTTAATGAACCAGCTGCGTGTACTAATGAGCGAGACTGCTTGGTCCTGCAGAAAAAACAAGACCAAGACTAGTCTTTTATCTGCAACACCAAGACCGACCAGTGTAAGACACGCAAGACCAAGACACCATGCGAAAATCTTGCGTATTTACATTTTTTACATTTTATATTTTAATCTTATTTTTGATAGATAATAATTTTCTTTTATTTATTTTTCCTTCCCTTATTTTACATAAAAAAAATATTAAAAAATGTTTATTGAAGAAACATCCAGACCTTTTTTACTACGTTAGTGCAGAAATTATTTGAAAAAAAAACGATATAAAAATGAACATCTCTTCTCTACAATATCTTCTGTACCTCTTCTAGCATTTTAAGACAAATATTTATACGAATTTGTTTACTTATTTTACTTTTTATCTGTAGAATATATTGCTGTAACTTCCTAATTACAATTTGGACCAACCTAGTAAAAAATAAACATATTTATCAGAATGAAACAAACATTGTTTTCTTTTAAGTTTCATGTGCATTAAATTACTTAAAATTCTATTTATTCAAAGATTTTCTATGTAGAAAGTGCAATAAGTAAAGTCCATTAAAAAAGTGCAAGACTTGCACGAGGCATGCGGCAAGAGCGAGACCAAGCAAATCTTGGTCTTTGTCTTGGTTTTGTATTTGCTCATCACTAGTTGCATGTAAAACTATGTATCTCTTCTGTTGGTAATTCTATGGATACGATAAAAAAAAACATTATATTGCGTCACGAGAGAAGCAATGTGAATTGAACTTTGTTTAGAACTATAGATATTTTTCTTTTTATAGAAGTCACGCTAGCCCAGAGCGACGAAGCTCAAGACTGCAAAGGCAAAATACAGCTTTTGACGAAAGTATACCACCAGGAATGAATAGAAGAGGTTCACAACCAACTGCCTTAAGCCCCGATGTTGATGATACTGGTAGAAAGGCTAGAAGGGATTCACTTAGTCCAGATTCAGCTTCAAGAGGGAGAAGAGATTCAAGATCCCACCTAAGTCCAGACAGGTATATTTTTGAAATACCTATTAGTTATTATTAGTAAAAGTTGAACAGACATGCAAATCAGAGGTGCAACAAGTTAGTTTCAAAAAGATTTAAATGTTAAGTCTTAAGGCATTTATAAAATCAGAATGATTTAAATTTTAAGTCAAATTCAACATAAAGTTTAAACGATTTGAATCTTAAGTCTTTGACCTGAATTATTTTCTTTCAAGTCAAGTCAATTTCGACTTAAATCAATATAATATAATTGAAATCGTTTTTATAACTTAAGTCTATATTTTTGTTTTAAATCATGATGATCTACAAGTTAACTTTTCAAAATGGCTTAAATCAAAATAACTACCATCCACCACGACAGCGTAAATTCAATTTAAGTACATATTTGTTAATGTTAATATAATTTTCTTCTATTACCGATTGGGCCAATTTTCTTGTTACCAATATTATTAATTTATTGTAAGTATAAATGAAACGAAAACCATATAAAATAAAAGAGTAATTTTTTAAAATAACTACAAACACAAAAGTATGATTTTTTATAAAATTTATCCGATTTTGTAGTACTTTATATGTATCCACATTACAGTTTAGATGTCATCGAACACATCACATTAAAAAGTGATGATATGTTTTGATCACTATGTAATATATCGATGGCATAAGCTAAGGGCTGGAGGATTTCAAAGTACTCTTCATAAATAAATGCAACAAGTTTAGATTGGAAAGTGTCCATAAGGACAATGTAAACACTATTTGTTATTTTAACATTATTTTTTAAACGCTATTCTGGCAACGGTCGCGACTTTATTTTATATAAGGACATATGTATGAAATATACCTATGAAACATTTGAAACCGACGTTATTCCACGTTCCACGATGGTTTTTGCAGTTCACAGTTCACAACACAGCTTTTTAAGTTTTTAATGACACTTTTTCACAATTATCACGAGCTTGAGTAAATAAAACTTAAATTAAACTCACAAGATAACAATAATTACTTTGAAAATGAACGCTTTAAACACTTTTCGGAATTTTTTCAATGAGATCGGTATAGATTTTGAAAGATTTAATAATTTTTGAAGATTCTGCAGACTTTGACAAGAGAAAATTATTTATGTTTTTGTTTGCAGTTGTTCTGAGCAACCGCTATAGCAGTGCCAGATCGCATACAACGGTCGCGACTAAAAATTTTGACGGGCGTTCCATTCTAAATTTATTTCCTTTATCTATGGTACTCTTAAATATAATATTCGACATCAATTTCTTTCATTTTTAAAGACTTAATATCAGATGACTTAATGAACATTAAAATGATTTAAATCAAAAAAAGACTTAAGTTTTATGTGAGCTTGCACCTCTGGTCCAAATCACTTTCAAGCTATTAAATTGTATTTATTATTCTGAATTCCGATGTTAGTCATATTTTTAAACTTGCCTCTGTGTTCTGCAGTTTTCAGACTTGACTTTCCTTAACTTACTTCCCTAGTTGTTCTTATTTATATCATTCTTATTACATTTAAATGGTAATAAGGGAAAACACCACAATACTTGGACTTGAATATTTTTTATCATTACAAAGGAGACCTTGATTCTTATACTATACCGGGTGCGTCTCGAAAATGGCTCACCCTTATAACTTTTTTATTTTTTCTTTTATTTTTATTTTCTCTTTACCGGAAAATAACTACAACTTTTGATTTTTAAATGGCACCCTCGGTATATTTCTACTTAAATCGATAGAAAATGACACTCTCAATAGAATGACATGCCATATGTCAACTTTTGACATTTTCGCTTAAAAACAAATTGTATTTTAAATTTCAATCTAGTGTGCCATGGCGGTATTAAAAACACTAATCAAGGAGTTTTGGAAAAATAGTTTTGATCATCTGATGTTTTTCGTGTCTTGTCTAGGCCGGTTAAAAGATGCCCAAATCGTATTTTTAATCATATCTCAGTTTTTTTCAAATGGAACAAGGGTAGGTCATTAGCGTTTTTGGAAAAAGCATTTTTTACGAATAATTTGGTACCTCACACTTGGTATTTCGATCAAATTGTCGTTATGAACCGCATGTTACAATTTCAATTAAACCATATGCGAAAATGTCGAAAGTTGACATATGATATGTCATTTCATTCAGTGTCTATCGAATAAAATACAAATATACCGAGGGTGCCATTTAAAAATCAAAAGTATACTCATTTCCGGTGGAACAGTAAGTGACCAAAACCGGTGAAACAGGAAGTGACTTTTGGGACGCACCCGGTATACAGGGTGATACAGGGTTGTTCACCACATACGACACGTATTCTAGCTAAACGATTACATTTTTGCAAATTGTAAGTTTTGGGTTCGTTGAAGGACTATTAGAGCTACAATTTAAGAATATTTTTACAAGATACAGAGTGTCCCAAATAAATAAAAAATATCAAAGTTGTATTTTTTTCAACGAAACACCATATATGTTATTACATTTTTGGTTTCTACGATTAAAATAAAGGTAAATTTGATTAAAGTTTACCCCACTTTAATCTTACCGTTTTTGAAATATTTAGTTTTTTGTCAATATACAGTTATAATTTTAATGCTTCATTTTCTCTAGGCGTACCTATTTAAGTTTTTAAAACCAAATATTGTACTGAAATATTTCTATTTACTAAATTTTGTGTTACAATAATAAAAATTATACAACTTTATACCGAGTGTCTAAAATTTATTTTAAATAATGACTATAGCTTTAAACGGCAAAAACTTGTTTGGTTTAAATGAAACACCCTGTATATTTTATCAAAATCAGATGCACAATTTAATTGTCTATCAAATTGTATTATACCATTCTTTACCTATCTCTTCAAATTTTCGTAGAAAATGCATTTCCTTATAATTTATACCTCATTTATCAATATACCAATGGAATATTGACATTTTAGATTATTTTTAAAGATGTAACAAATTTTTAAAGAGTACAGATACTAATATTGTTCATACAGTTCGTTTATTTAATTAAAAAATAAAAAAAATCTGTTTAAATACTTGTCAACAGCATTCAACCTACATTAATTGACTGTTGATTAATAATAATTGCTCCAAATACTAAAAAACTGAATTTTACGTATGTATTAGACAGTGTGGTAAAAAGTAATACCTTGAAAATAAATTGTATTCAATTTTTTGACGAAATTTTATTTATAACAGAGGCCTATTAAGGACTATTATTATGAAAATTATTTTATACCTTATTATTATATTGATTTCTGATTCAAATCCAGATTTATTTAGAATAATTTATTAACTAATAATAAAGAATGTAATTAGTTAATATTTGGGCGAAATAATGGTTCAAAAACGGTTTAAGCAGTAACCTAAAAAGGATATAGGTATTTTACTATGAGTTTTGTTTATCTAAACACTTTTTTTGTTTTAGATCTGGAGAAAGAGATATCAGTCCAGTTCGACGGAGCAGAAGGAACAAATTAAGAAGACAATCAACCAGCGTAGTTGGTCGGAACCACAGGTAGGCACTTTTTTAGTTTTAAGTATATACCCAACAATCAGAATTTGATTGCTGCAATATTGCCAATACTTCGTAAAGCAAGGCGTAACATTGCTGTTTTCATTGTAGGGAGGTATATGCAAGAAGACAGGGTAGCTTATCTTCCTCCCAGCAACATTGCAGTACGAGGTTATTTGAGGTGTTTTAGCAAAAAAAAATGTTAATGCAACGTTATTTGAGATGTTTTAGCAATATTGTTAATTTTACGTTAATACAATATTGGTAAAATTATATTGTATCTATATTTCAAAACTTATTATCCAACTTTCTAGTTCGTTTTAACAATTTTAGCAATAAGTCTGTTAATAACGACTTATTGCTAAAATAAAATACCAAAATATCGATAATGTTGGCAATAAAAACCATTTCACTCATCGGAGAGTAAATATAACAATTTATTTTTTAATATTTACTTATCAATTAATGAAACAGTTTTTTTCTTGCGAACATTAGCAATTTTATGTTAACAATAATACATCAGTAATAGGTTATAATAAACACAAACATTAATGGATATTAAATCGTAGACTATTAGATAGGTACAATATAATTTTACACATAATCAAGGATTTTACTAATATCTGGTATTGACGAAAAACATAAACAATATTGATAAAACATGCATATCTCCATATCCATTGATATAGAAAAATTTAAAGTACCAAAAAGTAAAATTTGTGAAGCAAAATGACAAAAACAATTAAAATTAGAAATTTATCTTGTTTCAAAAATATCGAAAATACTGTGAAGTACTGAGAACTTCCTGATTTTTTTAGCTGATCATTAAATAAGGAATAATTAGAAATCAAAGACATTATAAAGATAGACCGAACATCTCATTCATAAATACTCGTTGATAGTGTATCAAACATTCCAATGTGTCAAACAAGGACAGAAGAGACAGAGAAGTCTAAAATTTCCGACCCCGGCAACTAGGCGCATTTGGATTGTTCTAATGGCCAGTGGCGTATCGTTTTTTGGAACGAATTTAATTAGTAAAGTAAAAGTAAAGTAATTAGTAAAATTTTTACTCCATATTAATATACTACATTAACACTTTTTCGTTAGATGAGTTTTGTTATAAGGTCTAATATAATAATATAATTAATATCCCACATATACTTATGTTGAAACGTTAGTAGGTAGTTTTCGAAAATCGCTCCAACGTCGATATTCAATTTAAACTTTCAGTTACTTCTATATAAACACTCAGTTACTTTTGAATACTTACAGGGTGACTCAGGCTTCCGAAACAGTTCTATATTAGGTTTGTGGTTAGTGACTCTTCTTTCATTTTTTTTAGAATATGGAGGCAATGGTAAAGCACGTTTTAGACATTTTTGTAATCATAGGTTGCCGGAACATATTTTCAAACTAAAGTTGTAGATTTGCCATTAAATTTCCATTCCAGAAATACCTAGGGTTGCCACCTGTCCTTTTTTGAAAAGGACAGTCCTTTTTTGGAATAACTTGTCCTTTTGACTTTTTTTTGACTTAAAAAGTCATTTTTATTTACGTATTTTCCCTGAGAGAAGAAGATAACTTAGAACTTCCCATTTAATCTCTGAGAAAATTACCTACAGCAAACAGATATATTCTTTTCGTCCAAATTTAATTAGAGATGTTATAAAACTTATAAATAAATTTTTTCTTGTTTAGAATAGGCAACATTATTTAGAATTTCCCGTTTAATCTCAAATGATAGTTTAGGTTTTAGTTTTACCTTTTTTGATCTTAAAAAAACTTTTCAAAATTAGTAATAAGTAACGATTTAGTTAGTTCGCAATCGATAGCTTCCTGTGAAGTACTGTGTAATAGTTGTTTAATCTTGTATTCTTAATAACTTCCTATACCTAAAATCAATATTTATTTTAATCCTTTTAGTCTCTCAATAGAGGGCATTTATCATTAAAAGTATCGAATCTGTGTGCTGCAGTATGGGATTTCTGTCGCATAATAATGAATATTACGTTTATTTACAAATCCATTACTTAGGTAGCTTAATCAGACAATCAAATTTTAGTTAAACGTCCCAATCTTCATGAACTGTATCAAGCATATGTATTGCGGTTTGAATCACCCTGTATGTTGACAAAAATATTTTGAAAATGTGCGTTACAATGGCCCCGATCTTATGTAAAGATTGAAATAAAAATCACAAACCAAAAACGTAATAGGTAAAAAGCTTTTTTGGAGGCCTGGGTCACTCTGTATATAGGTATGTATAAAACTAGTAGCCTAAGAATTATTTATAGTTCGTCCCATTCTAAAAAAAGGTAAACACACAGTACAAATAACTCTAGGAAGAGGTATTTGTATTGTACGGTGGTAAAAACTTGTCTAAACAAGACCGAAGGGGCAGATACAAGATATAATTAAGCAATAAAATGTAAAAAAGGTCGGGTAAACACCTTTGTTTATTTGTTGAGCAAAATTCCTTTAGAATATCGTATATAATGACCAAAATATAACTCAATTAAAAAAAATGTTACTTTCTGGCATATAATAAAGTTTCAAATGCAACGTTTATATTCAAATTTGTTATGATCTACAACAGTTAGGTAGTAATTGAGACGAATTATAATTCAATTACCGGCTACTACGTTCTTGTTTTAATAGATCAAAATTCAACAAATATAATTAGAAATTATTTTAATTTTGAGAGGCTCCCTTGTGGGACGCCTATGTACGATTAGGGCGGAAACAATACCTACCTGTGAAAAGACAAATTCGGGTAATTTGAGCTTATTTTTCCACACATTTGACGCTGTCCTACCATATTGAAAATTTGCAGATTCAAAAGTACGTTAAACAAAAACAAAAACTACTGAAAACCACTGAAAAGTTCACTTCGGCCTTGATTCCGACTTCAAACACACCGTAAGCTAAACGTAGTACGCTATAACGGACCAAGATCCGTCGCGAGGGGTGGTGGGAAGGACGGCTCATTTCATTCTGGAAGACTAGCAGCGACGTTGCCAATAGTTCTAGACGTTTCAGCACATTAAACAGTAAACACGTCCTTTAATAGTAACGCATATATTCTCTGGTTAATAAGATATTATTACGCATGCTTCTTTAAAAATAAACTATTAATTTAATTAAGAAATTGAGATTTATTGATATCCGGTGAAGGTTTTAAAGTCACCTTTTCTGCAAATCAAACTAAGTAGATAGGCGCAAATTTGAGATGTGGCAATGTCGCCTTCTCTATTTCAGTTGGTTTTTACAGTACGTAGTCAACCTCCGGTTGTTTGATCGGGTTAAAATGCACAATGTGATATCTGTTCTTACTAAATCTATGTTAGAAATCTATATTGAATCATTTCTGAAGTAGTAAAAATAAAAAAAAAACAGTCAGTAATAACTAGAGAAACATGAGAATAAAAATGATAAACTTACCTCATATAATGGAAATTAGCTCTTTGAAGGCCAATTAATTCCTTTTTTTAAAAATCTCAAATTTTTATAACATCATTGAAAAATTATTATTGAGAATAATGAATACTGAGTATTTGTGATTTTATAATTAGATTACTGACACTCATTTACATCTTAAAATGGGGATATTAAGTGTAAAAAATATACTTATCGGTAGATATATTTTCCTGCAATGTGCTTATAGGCTTGGTGCATTCTGCGCTGCGCGCCGGTGCTGGAGCTATCGAAGAATCATCGTAAACAATTAGTATATATGCTACGCTCAATAGTCGAATTCGGGCAATGCCCGAAAAAAAGACGCAAATCTAGTTTTCAGCAAGGAATATTTCCCAACCCCGAAAAACCAACTAACCAATGAATTAACACCCTCCAAATAACCACGCTAACCAACTCGCCAAATAACTAAACCAACCCAACCAAAAAGAGTGAAACCAATGCAATCAAATCACACTATAAGAAAAAAAATAATCGAATACAATTAATTTTTTTGGGTTTGGGAAATATTCCTTGCTCAAAACTAGATTTGCGTATTTTTCTCGGGCATTGCCCGAATTCGACTATTGAGCGTGATATATACAAATACACGGGTTTAAAGAGCGATTATACGAAGAATTAATTATTTAATTATTCTAAAACTGTTAGGAATTATAATTTGTGAAAATTCTAAAAATACACAGTAAATATTTTGATATCTTCAGAAAGTCTAACTTGTTAATTGTCTAATTTATTATTCCAGTTATTTTTTTTTAGATTAGTTCAACTACGGTAGGCATTTATACCTTCCGTACATGTATACGGCACCTAGCACAATCCCGTTGGTCAAATTAGAATTTTAAACCAATTAAACTCCGAGTGCCATACGCGAGCATGGAATGTAAGACAGTGCCATATGCACTTACGGAATGTACCTTGTAGTTATGCTGTAGCAGAAAATCACGCTTCCAACCAAACCAAACCAACCCCACCAAATAGCTAACTTAACCAACGCAATCAACCCCACCAAATAACCATCTTAACCAACGCAACTAACACCACCAAAAAGAGTGAAACCAACGCAATCCGCATTTTGATTTCTATTAAATATTTACAGTTTTTTTAAAAATAAAAACAGTTGTAAAAAAAATCAATAGTTATGGTCCGGCGTGAGATTTACGAAGCGATGGCCTCAGTCACGGAGCCACAGCTACTCTTGCATGATAAGCTATAGTCAGGCGTTACTTTTTGCTGCAAGGATAATTACCAGGTACATGCCGTAAGTGCGCATGACACTGTCTTATATTCCATACTCGCGTATGGTACTCGGAGTTTAATTGGTATAAAAATCAAATCTGACTAATGGGATTGTGCTAGGTGCTGTATACATGTACGAAATGTATAAATGCCTACGGTAGCGAGCATGGTTTTTATCACCGGTTTTGCTAGTGGGGCATAATTGGGACTATTTCGGCTATAACGAAATTTTTTAAAGGTACATAATTATAATTTTAGAAAATGTTCATAAAACATTTAATCACAAGTTGATTAAAAAAAGTATACCATTAATATTGCAAAATATATTTTATCCTCTCATAGTATATACAGAGTACGTAGATCGCCGAGTAGCGACAGAAACCGTCGGCTCTTTTGATGTGGTGGGACCAAATTTTCTTTCTCTCTCTTTTGACGTGTTTGACAGATAGACTACGTATTTAACTACTCAACTTATGAAGTGGTCCTATAAACATGGTATACACTGCTCACAATTTGAAGTGGAATTAATTATAAAGTTTTATACATATCTTTTTTGTTTTGTTTTATCCTTATTTCTAAATTTGAATGTATAAAATATCTTACTGCTAATAAATAATTAAAAAAGCGATTCGTTGCCTGAGGTATACTTGAAATAAAGTATATAGAGATATTTGATAAATGGCAACAGTGGCAACTTCACTTCTTCGTATGACAGATAACCTACTTATTTCGCGCAGCCGCAAAGAAAATTGAAAACGGGACTGTCGCTACTCGTCGGTTTAGGTACTCTGGTATATATCTATTTAATTTTTTGATTATGTAGCGAGCACTTTGTTTACTCACTTGTTTCGCCGAACTGCTTGAATCCATTTTTGCTTTTGATCAAATCGGTGTAAGATACTATGAGGCTATAAAATGTTGTTTCGGGAGAGTTGAATATCCGGTAAAGTTGAGTTATTGAATGTTATTGCACCCAACAACGCACGCCCTAATTACCCTCTCCTTTACGCGTTAACATTTTTTCGGCAATTTTATTAACATTTGAAATTTTCACAACACAACACTACGCCTAGTTCGAATTCTTTTTCATTGAAACCTCTTGTACCTGAGTGTTTTATAGTCTCAATAACTGCACTAGCAAAAAACTAAAATACTTAAATATTTTAACAAAACCACGATTTCAATATTATTCAATGCGATCAACATGACGGCGGCGTTAAGTACATTCTGATAATTTCTGATTTCTGCCGTTGAAGCGCTGCAGTCGGAATTTGTTGAAATCAACTGAAATGCACCAAGCCTATACAACCAGGCATATTACCTTAACTTACTTTTCAAAAATTAGAATGAATGTACGTTCTAAATATTGCAGATCTCCTGATAGTTCTAGCTGTTCATCAAGAGATCCTAGCCCAAGTGCAAGAGGTCCACCGCCAACTAGCGAAAATTATCGCCCAGCTATAAGACGACAATCTACAACGGAAGAAATTCTAATTGCAAGAGGCTTTCGAAGACAGTCAACTACTGAAGAGATGATTCGCTGTAGAAACTTCCGAAGACAATCTTCCCAAAGTGATGAATGTCAAAGGTAAGAGTATATATATATATATATATATATATATATATATATATATATATATATATATATATATATATATATATATATATATATATATATATATATATATATATATATATATATATATATATATATATATATATATATATATACCAGTCTTCTTATAAAATACTTATTATATATTTGGTGTTAATTATAGTGTCTCTATAAGTGCAAGTTTTTGAAGTTTGTTTTATCAGTAGCTTAGAAATGCAAATGAGATACACTGCGATGTTTCTGAAACACATGAATATTATTTTATTGCAAACTATATTGTTGTACTACTTTAGTGGAGTGCTCGGAGACTTTTCCTTCGGAATTCAATTACTTTGTATGTAGTAATGTAAAACCATCTGTATTGTGTTTTATAGATAAATTACTAAAATATTTACCCATTTTGTTGCTCTTATTTTTTTATGAAATGGCATTAGCTGGTTTAGGACCAGGAATTAAACAACCTTTTTTTAAAAAAAATTGCCGACGCGACGACGTTTCGACGTGTATTGTCGTCTCTATTAAAACTTGATTTTCATGCATCCGTTATCCGATGATACGACGATACGATATTAATTTCATTGGTTGAATTTAAAGAGTTCGACAGGTTAGAAAATTACGTAGATTTTAAAATTATTGCATTTTCATGCCTCCGTTCATCAGTTATACGATTTTCTTGTGATTGGTGTCATTTTATATTTTTTTATATATTTCGCTGTTCAACGTTTTCCAGAGAGAATTATTCATAATTGTAAGAAAGCTGGTTCTTTGATATATCTTTTGCTATGCTCTCCTGAACAGAGTGCGAACCGTGTGGCTGCCGGCAGACGTTGCGTTCACTACCGCGCATCATATATTCGCCACTGCGAGTCACAAATTTGCCCTCTATCTCAGAAATTAAGGAGGCTATGACAAACACAAGTGTACCCAAGTAGCATTTTCACGACTTGCGACCACATGTTTACTAAACACAACGTTGGATTAGTTACAAAAAATAGTTAGCTCCATACCTTGGGTATTAAAATAAATGTAGACATTGTTGTAACGTTATGCCGACGTTGAACTAGTACTACAACAAAGTAAAAGCTTCTGCGACGTCGAATAAACGTTGTCTTGTAACTTGTAACCTTTTTTGCTTAAGTGATCTTTAGGTGATTCGGACAACGTAGTTACAATGTTGGGCAATAAAGAGTTTTCCGACGTCACTTTCAGGACCTATTCCAACGTTATGCAAACGTCGTCTGTTCCAACGTTGTTTAGATTTCGATTTTGATCCTAAACAAAACGCACAAAACGCGGAAACAATTTTTTCGACTGCGAATAAATTATTCTCATTTTACTAAAAAAAAATTCAAGAAATTTTTTACAACTTCTTTAATTTTAAGGCCCATTAGTATTTTTCAAAGTTGAAACAACACATTTATCAATAAAGTTGTTTGCGTTTAACTGTTTTGCCTTGGGTAACGAGTTACAGAGTCGGTTAAAGTGTTTCAATAATTATGATCTTCAAACATCCTCCACACTTAAATACTTTTGTTTTGTTTTCCTTTACTGCCATCTGGCATATTCAATTCAATTCAATTCAAAATGTCATTATTAGGTATATAAACAATTGTATACAAATTAAAATAATAAAGATGGCGACGTTCACATTTGTGCTCTTCCACGCAACCATCAAAAAAAAAATATGTAAGAAAAGAGTAGTAAAATGATTAATGAAGTTATTACAGAAATATGATTAAAGACCTACATTATTCAATAATTAATTACAAAATATATATAAAAAATAAGGTAATATGAAAGAAGTGAGAAAAAAAATTGAACATAAGTTTAAATATTAGTCTTTCAACACACGCTCTCCCATCACATAGCCCTTCACTCTCTTTTTAAAAGACTGAATGCCAGAAGGGTGTCCGATTTCGTTGGAAATATCATTGTAAACTCGGAGCGCATTATAGGAAAATGAACGCTGGAACAAAGCTGAGACATGCCTAGGAACAGTGTACAACGCGCCTGATCTAGTAGGATAGTTATGCGTATCGTTTCGCTTAGACAATTTCTCAAATAGATAAATTGGTGTTTGGGATTCATTAATTCTAAAAACCATACAGGCCATATGCATAATAAATCTCTCGTCCAAATTAAGCCAGTGAGACTCCCTAAAGCAATCCAAAATGTGATCAAATTTCCGTAGGTTATAAGAGTATCTTACACAAGCGTTCTGTAATTTTTGTAATGAATGTCGATCAACTAAACGCAGAGCAGGCCAATAAACTACGTCACAATATGAAATAATTGAAAGAATTAAAGAGTCGCATAAACGGAGTTTAATTAGTGTGCTAAGAAGTCTCTGTATTTATAAAGTAATTTAAATTTCATATATGCATTTTTTAATATATGTTTAACATGTGTTGAAAATCTTAAGTCAGTATCGAAATATAATCCCAAATTGCGGCAGCTGTTCGTAAAATTAAGGATACGGTTGTTCAAAACAATAGAGAACTGATTATTAGTTTGAAGTAAATAGTTGTTTTTACCGAACAGCAAGACTTCAGTTTTAGACTCGTTCAGAGTGAGATAATGGGCTTTAGACACATTAGAAATAATCTTGAGATCCTCATTTATTTTCTTCCCTGCCATGTTCCATTCATTTGGTGGAAAAGACAAATAAGTTGAGAACCATCAGCGTACAAGTGAACATTGCAATATTTTAAGTAACTATTGAAATCAGATGTATATATTACGTATAAAAGAGGACCCAAGATACTACCCTGCGGAACGCCCCTACCAGTTAGCCTCACTTCTGAAATTTTATGATTGAAAACAACTCTTTGTTTTCTAAGGCAAAGATAATTTGTAAAAAATTGTACAGCTTTTTTAGACATTCCAAAATAATATAACTTTTTACATAATAAACAGTGGTTTAAATTATCAAACGCCTTACTATAGTCGAGTAAAATTAAACAAGTGTTTAAATCTTTATCCGTAGCAGTGAAAATATCGTCCGACACTTTTAGGAGTGCAGTACATGTACTATGCTTTGGAACAAATCCGGACTGAATAGGAGGTAAAATATTAGTTTGCGATATATATTCTCTCACTTGCTGTGAAATAACTTTCTCTAGTACTTTCGAAATGGTTGGCAAAATACTAATAGGCCTAAAATGTGAAATTTTCGTAGGGTTATTGTTTTTAGGTATAGGTATTATATTAGCCTGCTTCCAAACATCAGGAAAAGTTTCGCTAACCAAACAGGTATTTACAATGTGTGTTAAATATACGGTAAGAGTAGGAAAAAGACAATTGAGCATTTTCATGGTATGGTTATCTGAACTTGTCTGAACCCATGGCATTGCTCCTCAGAAGGCCAACGGTTTTAAAAACATCCTCAGGTGAAACTGTGTTAAAGGAAAATTCTCCAATTTCGGGAATTTTACGTTGATTCTCATAGCGATCTAAAATATCAAAAGTAATTTGAGGGTTTTCTTGCATGTTATTGGGAGAAACACCTAAGAAATGGTTGTTAAAAGTATCAGGATCACACTCAAATTGAGGCAATGTATTGGACTTACTAATATTTAAATATCTGAGGGTCTTCCAGAATTCTTTAGGATTAGTTTGAAATTTATAAAGCAAATATCCCCTCTTTTCCATTTTTACAGAGTGGTTAACCATATTCCTCAACTCTTTATAGTAATCCCAGGCCAACTGTGACTTGCTATGTTTATATTTTTGTAAAGCTTGATCTCTCAAACGCATCATAAGCTTAATGTTATCTGTTAACCAGGGTGCAGGTTTTTTTTTTGTAATTTGTACCGTCTTAAGAGGCGCAAACTCATTGAATATACTATCAATATTAGCATTCCAAAATTCAACTATCCCATTTACATCTTCAAATTTATATATATCATCCCAATTCAAGTTATGTAAGTGTTCAAGAAACAGATTAAAATTAAAATTAGAGAAATCACGAAAGGTGTATATGAACGGAGACACTTTTTCTTTTTTAAATTTAATCGAGCAGGAGACTAACGAGTAATCAGAGATATCATCCATAGGAATTACGCACACATTATCCAATAAATCTGTAACTGAAGTCACGATAATATCAATTAAAGTACTTGAGTTTTCAGTTATGCGGGTTGGTTCTGTAATAATTTGATTTAAACTATATTTTTCAAGAAAACTATTTACAAGTTGCGAACCGTTATTACTCACAGACATATCAACATTTATATCGCCACCAAAAAGTACATAATCATGTTCAGGGATAAAAGAAATTAACATTGACTCTAGAATATCCAAAAAACTGTAAAGATTCTCACTAGGCGGTCTTTACAATGATCCCAGGCATACCTTTTTATTTCCCAATTTAACTGATGTCCACAAATGTTCAATTGATTTATTATTACTGGCAGGTATATCTAGAATCTTAAATGTTATCGTGTTTTTAACATAAAATGCCACTACACCCCCGCGAGTTTCCCTATTACTTCACTATTTCCCTGTCTCTAACTAAATCATAAAAATAATATTTTTACTATAATTATCCCAATTTAGGATAAAACGCGACTTAGACGCCATATTATTATAGTTTTGTATTTCTGTGAATTAGAATTTTAAACAACGTTGCAGTTTGTACTAAATTAGGCTGCTAGCCAACGTCGGTATCCAACGTCATTTCAACCCAAAAATTATTCTCAAAACTAGTGCAGATTAGGGTTGGCACGAGGTTGTGCCGACGTTACGTCCCGACGTTTGGTCTCGTGACACGACGTTGCCCCGACGTCCAAATGCTGCTTGGGTAGCATATTTAATTTTGTGAAAAAAATAGCAAAGTAATAAAAAAATTGCATCATTGTATCTCTACTCATAAACGAAAGCAGAAATTCAATAAAACGAAAATGGGATACCCTGTACAGATGTGATGAATAGCAGTGAACTGCAGTGGCCCGCACTTTGGTCAGGAGAGCATA